CAGCCGGCCTGATCTGAGCCCTGGGTAGAGAATTACAGCGGCCTGGGGACGCGGGAAAAGGCACTTTCCATACGTCCCAGATCCAGACCCAAAGGCCAGGGCATGTTACTGGCCCGGGGAAAGTCAGCTGGCGAATGAGTTTAAGTGGCCGGGTGATGTCGCTTGCATTTATTGTTACTTGTATTCTTTTTTATTGAAGTTGTAATTTGTTGTGACTTAATTATGGTATCTTTTTGGATTCCACATACTCCTTTTTCACTGGTGGGCTTGAATACTTCCATTTATCAAACTGCTTCCTAGGAGAATAATTTTGTAACCCATATTAACATAAGGAGTCTTTGCTGACACAGTTAATTCCGTTGGACAATTGGGACTACACTCAGGAATATAGGTTTCAGAACTGAGCTTTAGATTTAATAATTCCCCCAAATGTACTTTTCTGAAATGGATTTCTCTTGAACACATTTTGTGGGGAGGGAGAGGCTGGGGTGCCAGAGGCATGCGCTAGCTGGGAGGTGCTTCCCTTGGCAGCTCCCAGCCAGCAGCCCAGCAGGTTCCTCAGCCGGGGACTCTGCTTACCCTGCCCCGCAGGCTGCTCAGAGCAGCTGGCTACAAGGACCATGTGCTTCTCTGAAAGCCGCAAGCCGGGAGGGGCAGGGGGTACTTAGCACACTGCCTGTCCTGCTAACAGGCTGCTCCCATTGGCTGGAAACAGAAGATGGGCTGCTCCCATTGGCTCACAGAAGCACATGGCCCCCACAGCTGGATCTGGTGGCTTGGCAGGCCAAATTCATCCCGCAGGCTCTATTTTGCCTTGATCTAGGAGCACTGAAGAGGCAGCGGGCTGGACTCCTGTTTGTTGCTGTGTCTGCCTCCTGCCTGCCACGCAGGCCAACGCGGGAAAGCCATGCAGGACAGGGCACCCTTCCCGACCAGCTCTTGCCTCAGACCCAGAGCACACGCTGTGCAGAGTCCAAACCCCCCCTCTTCTTGGGGCTCAGCAGCACTGCCAAAGAAATTAACCATAGCACCGAAACGCTCAGCTCACGCCCTCTCCCCCCACCTCGGCTGCTCGAGGAGTTCCTCGCGTAGCACCGCTCAGCCCACGCCCCGGATCCTCCCTCTCTTGCCAGTCGCAATAGAGCGCACGAGCCCAAGCCACTTCCTCCTTCCACAGCACGATCCACGGCTGCTCACAGGGTGGCACATTTCAGAGACACACTCAGCCTGACACATGCAGCACTTCTACTAGCAACAGACGTCTGATGGAGAAATGAACCTAGCCCACGGCCTTCCTGCCTCTACTTCCTCCGGGCTGCAGCTGGCGGAGTTTGTCCTCCAGCTGCTAACACAGATCACACGCCGAACAGCCCCACATCACTCTGCAGAGCTCAAAGAAACGGTGCGCCAGTGGGACTAAGCCAAGAGCAGAACCACGCCATCGATTTCCAGACGGGGAGGGGGCAGCAGCCATGAAGACATGCCAAGACATGCCCTCCGAAAGGAAGAAACCCTAGGATAACGGCTCCCCTAAGTATTAGAACCCTCCCGTTCACAGATGAAGAAACTGAGGCAGCGAGCGGCGAGTCAGCGGTGGACCTGTGAACGGAACGCCAGCCTTCTGCCACGAGCCCAGCCTGCTGGCTTCCCCGCTGCTGGCTGCTGCTGAACATGCAGATCCAGGCGTGGAGGAACGATTTGCCACAGAGTCGTGCTCAAGGGCCCAGACGGACACACCGTTTACTTCTCCCCGTGGCGCTTCCCTGCCACTCATCTCTGCACCTGGGCCTCTTCCCGCCTGGATCACGTTTCCCCTCCTCCCGCCGGGATTTCACAGCCGACGTGCTCTGGGACTTGTGGAGCAGAGACCCCCGGGTCTAGTG